TAGCAGTGTCTTCATGGAATGATTAAAGCATGCATTGTACTGCAGGAACAAAAAGATCCAGAGATGTAAAAAACATTTCACTCCTCAATTTACCATATTTTGTCTTCAATTTCAGGGTGATTTAAGGACAAGCCAAATATTGTAAATTGCTAATATTCTTTTAAAATCCTACTGGCATCCCAATTTTATAATGCTAGGTATTTTTAATGGTTTATGAATGCTGAAATAATTTGAGAGGGATAATTACAATGGCCATTCAGAGTAGGTAGAAAATTTTTTTACTCTTCTTTGGATCAGATGATTTCAATGATGTGTGGAAAGAATCTCTTAGGTTTGTACAAACCCAAACATGTTTGATTGAGCAAATTGTTACAGGTGACAAACTATTTCATTTCCATTTCTCCCTTTTGTTTTACAATTTTTCAGGACATAGTCATGCAAGAACAGCAGTTCAGGCAGAAACTATGTGGTGCCACACAGATGGAAGAGCACACCCACGTGTTATAACTTGCAGGGTGTGTTTGAAGAGAAGTGCAGAGAAGTCCGCCAGTTCTCTCATCTGTACTGAGGCGAAATCAACAGCAGGTTAGTACTGGAGTATTAGTTAGGGAGCCCCAATAAAAGGGCAGTAAACTTATTCTGCAAATAAACATGATAGACTGACGACACCCTAAATAGCTCAAGACCTTAACTGATATCAAGCACTGTACTTGGGTTCCTAAATTAGCAGTCTAACTCCCTAGTGTCTCCTTGCTGTTAATGGAGAAACAGTCACACAGAAGATGACTCAGATATTAGTGGAGCTACCTATATCTTTGTACTAATTGTTAAAGGTGTCAAGACTAGATCTGTAATAGATAAATCCTATTCATGATCAGTACTAGTTGTGGGATGAGAACATAACCTTTATTGTTATTCTACTATCCTGTCTGTATTGCCATCTCTTAGGAATTTACTAGGAAGTATAACCCAACAAAACGTAATGGTCCCAGTGATGCACTGAATGCATTTTGTCTTTGGTTTCATTATGCGATGTAGAGTTTAAGCAGTTCACAATCTAATAAACTTACTGCATTTCAGTCTCCCCATAGAGATTCCAGAGACCAACAGCAGGGTTTCTGCATAAAATTTGCATGGAAAGTACTTTTCCCACAGAAATAGTACTTTTCCCCTCATAAATAAATTTTGATAAATTATTCTGTAGCTCAAAAATAGCATGATTTGTATTTACCTACAGTAAAGGCTATGAGTTTTTAAATGATCATGCTTTAACTCAGCAAAAAACCAACCAAAAAAACCCCCAACCTAACCAAAACACAAACAACTCCCCTCTCCCTTAATTGGATCAAGTATTGATAGAGCTCAGGCAGTCGGTAAGAGAAGGGCTGTACGTTCCTAAAGAAAGTGTCACAGGAAATTAATTACCCATTTTTTTTCAGAACTGCTTCCTCCTTTGTATTTATGAATATATGTTCATTTGGATTCTGTTGTTTTGTATCTGAAGAAAAGCTTAGGACTTCCAACTTATGCACTGCACTAATTTAAGAACTGAATTTCATTTTCTCTCTATCTGATATCACAATGCAGGCACAAAGTACCATAAAGAAACACTTTCTAAAATCAATCCATATCTGCTAGCTATTTCCAAATAGGCTGATTTAATCCCAGATCTGTGTCTAAATTAAAAAAGTGGTAATCGAAAAGTAAAAAAAAAAAACAAACCCAGATGAATGGAAGTGGCACATTTTATAGAACTTTCTCAAGAAATGGGAAGTTGCCCAAAGTCTGCAGTGCCAAAGTCAGTAATTATGTTACTACAAATTAAAACTAATTACGCTTGTTGGAGTAGAATCATCTTCAATTTGTGTTGTAAATGAAATAAACCCCATCCCACTAAGGTACAACAAATCAAAACCCAAATGTGCATAAAGAGATTTCTGTGGTTTTGCCAGTCAAGTAATTGGGAGAGGTACTACTCTGGCCCATACTTGGAAAACCTGGAATAAATATTGAAGTTGCTGGCTCACTGCAACCTCTTTGCTAACTGTTTTGTTTTGTTTAAAATTTCTGATTTGGCTTGATTTCTTTCCTTAGTAACAATATCAGGCAGGGAGTTCTTAACAGCTTCAAAATTCTGAGCTGCTAAAACGTGCAGCAATGGTACAGGACAAGGTTTCCTTCACCGTCAGAAATTTTAGAACATCCATGTCTAAGGACACTGGGTGTCGCTATAGGAAAAATGCCATTCCCTTCTGCTCCAACTCAGTTTCTTCATCAAAGAGAAGATAAAAAGTAGAAAAATAAACCCAGAAAACTAAATTAAGTCATGTAAGATGGAAGCTACCCAAAGTTTCGAGATCTGGGCCAGTATGTCCTTGTGAAAAACAGTGTCATTACACCATCAAACCCAGCACAGACTCAGTACTCCAAGCGCTGGGCTCTTTACAGTCAAGTGCTGAGGACAGCCTTTGTTCCCCAGGGCTCTGAAGTGAAATGACAGAGCGGTGAGGCAAGTAGGTGAATGAAACAGAGCCAGCAAGATGGTTGTAAGGGTGTGATAAAAGTACAGAACAACACATGCTATGGCTTGCTTTTTGTCTAATCTTTGGCATGGAGAGAAGTGATCTCCAGCCTTTCACAGCAGGCAGTGTTTTGTATCCCTTCTGTCCCCATGGGATTCTGTGGTTCCAGTTTGCTGAATCTTTAACATTCTTCCATTAAAAAAAAAAAAAAATCAAGGACTAGCAGTTTTCTCAGAACTCTACCTCATTATGACAGCTCTAAGAATTAAGAGTTCACTTAGCTATGTTTAGGTATAGAGGAGAAAGCTACCTTTTCTAATATTTTCTTAGCAAATATATTATAGAAAATTTGGAATAGCAAAGGCATGGTCTTAAAATTGTTTTCCATTGAAGTCTAACATCAAAGTACAGGTTAATAAGTTGGAATTAAAACTGTCAAAGGAGAGTTGCAGGTGTCCTTTGATGTCTGAGTGACAAGCACTTCCACTACCTTTCCAGTTGCAATAAGCAAGTGACTATGGAGAGGACAATCAGTAGTACACCAGTAGTAAACAGAAGCAATGCTTTTTTTACTTTCAGACCAATCTTTGAAAATTTGCAATAAAGACATGTAATAGCAAAATGCTTGTAATTTAGTAAAACTTATACTAACAATTAGTATAATAATTGACAAAATTAGTTAAGTAGGATTAGGCAAGTTTACTTGAAAACAGCCAGCCTGACGGATAGATACTGAACAAGTCTGTCTTTTGCCCTGTATGCTCGGGTACTACAGCACTAGAATGAAACTGGAACTGAATTCATCTAATGTAGGCAGGACATCTATTTTTTTCTCTGCAGGCAATTTGTCTTAAAATAATGTTGGTTGTCTTGTTAAACAGAATGGAGTTTTATAGAGGTTAATTTGAGACTTTTCCTAATATCTCTGCAGTCCTACAACTATGCATAGAAAAATAATTGTCATACATCCCACATTTATTTCTCACAAAGATGGAGCTTCAAGACAACTGATAAAGAATTAAATATGTTTTGGAATAATAGAAATATTTATCTTTTAGAGAAGTATCCTTGATCATAGCAAATCCCACTCATTGTAGCCATTTTTGTACTTTCACTGAAGTCTCCCTTGTCTATAGTACTTTTCATCTAGAACATAAATTCATGTTCTTCCTAAATCATCTTTTCTTTTGTTTTGAAGCTTTAATAGATGCTGTTAAGTATGCAGTATATACCACTGAATAGCCAGTTTCATTAGAGAGATCCTCTATCTAGATCTACCCAGAAAGTTAAACAACAGCCTTACTCTTCACAGCTAAAGAGGATATGCTACTCTCTAAGCAGCTGGGAAAAAGCATTTATCAAAAGTCATATATTTTTTGCCTATGCACTGAAAACTAATACAGTCAGCATCCCATGCACTAAACTGGTCTTTAAATATTTTTCAAGTTAACTACATTCATCTTAAAACATGGTACAAATCTATTCATAGAAGAAAGAGTAAAAAATGCACTATTCTGAATTGTATATTTAATATAAAATCAGTGACAGCAAAATCTATTGTATATGATTCATTGGAAGAGGGAAAAGCATACCTGGCAGGACTTTATATATACAGCCTACTCCCATCCCAGTACCTTTCAGCTATTAGAACCCTACACAATGTTTGGCATGGCTTAATAAATTCATACTGCTTCAGCTGTAAAAGCTGTGAGGGATAGCTGAAGACTGTTGAGCTTGATGTAAAACAACAGGTTCATCTACAGAAGAAAGACCTTTCTGACATTAAAAGAAATATGTAAAGCTTTATAAAACCCTCCTGTAAAAGTGTTTCAGTGTCTCCTTTGGGTCTAATAGGAAAAGGCAGTGAAAATGTATGTTTTTTTGTGAGCTTTACTGACTCCTGAAGAATTCAAAAAGCAATGCTTGTTCAGGCAACAGTAAAGAGAAGGCAGAGAATAGGAAAAACACGAAGACTCAGAGCCTTCTCAGGCTGCCAGTGACCTCCAGTCTTTTCATACTCATACCTGGCATCCGAGCTTGTCCTGGCTTTACGACACAAACCAAGAAAATGCAGATCAGAGAAAACAGTTCTTGGCTGCTGCTGTGCTTTTGGTAGTAAGTCCTTCTAGGCCAGCCAATAATGCATATGTGAGAAGTGCCAAGAATTAAGTAATGAGGCCCTCCTTAAACAAGTAGTCCATACTTCTGTTGTGATAGTAGTAAAATCACACCTTGTGGTTTCTAAATCCATCTTGCTATAGGCATTGATCATGAAAGATCCTTCTTTCCTCACCACTAATACTGAATAATCTACAGTGCTGGGTAGGGAAACATTTGGATCCAGTATAGCAAATGTAGAGGGAGGAATATAAAATCTTTTAGAAAGAAGAAAAAGAGTAATTTGTTACTGAATCATGCACATTAGGATAGCTAACATTACATTTTTTTTGTAAAGTAAAACATTATTTTTATACCCACAACAAAACATGGACCTGCAGAACTTTTCAAGCAATCTTCTAACAGCTTCATACGAGTCTTCTGCAGCTCAGGACTGTCCCATTCATCTGCTTCAACTCCCCAGTATAAGTCTATGACCTGGAAAATAGTATGCAACATTGTTACTTTATCATATGCCCTTTCTACCTATCAAATTAAAAATCAGTTTTGTCAACATTTCATGTACTGGTAAGCATTTCTCTGCAGTGCAGTAAAAGGCAGTGAGGTCTAGACTGGCTGGGTTTCCTTAGGTAAATGGCAATTCAAGCCTCTTATTTTCTCTCCCAGATAGTCCTTCCTGGGACAGTCTCTCATTTCATATTCATATTTTTGTGCAGAGATTAGCATGACAAGATCTTGATTTGATGTAGTCTTTATTTGCTACTGGATTGCATATAATGGATAGGTAAGAATAATGACAAAAGCATTGATAAAATCCTTGCTCCATGGAAATTAATGGGAGTTTTGCTGTGGACCACGACTTGACACTCTCTGTCACTTGTATCCACAGGGTATCAACTCATCCTGTGCACATGGCTCAAAAGAAAGAATATGTGCGGTTCTGTAAGACTGTACTTCCTTTGTTAGCTGGTCTTTGTTACTTTGCAAGCAGAGATTGTATAGATATGCAGTGGCAGACAGCTTGCTGTTCAGCCTTTCATCTATAGCTACAGACTCAGTTTTGTGATGGTAATTAGTTGCAAACAAACTCCTGGAAGAAACTGGAATATGGATGTTAAACTTATTTGAAGAAATTAAGTGATGAAGTGTGATTTCACTAAATATTTTAACTAAAAGACTGACTTCTTACTGTGGGAAATTGAATTTAAAAGAATAGGGATCATACGTATGCATTTCTTTTGAAACAAAACATATGGTACATGCTACTACTCTCTCATTTAAGCTACTATTGTTAACATCATATATGTACCTTGAACAAAAAAAAGTCCAAATGGATAGTTAAAAAAATAACCAAAATTGTATTAAGACATGAATATATTACCATATTGTTTATTATAATATTATTTGTACTGTGGAAGCACTCTGCTGTTTCCATAGGAAACGGAACCACAAAACTAGCTGTTGTCTAAACAGATCATAAAATCAGCCTGAAGATCTAATATAAGAACTAATAACGGTTTGATATAAAAGTAAAATTCACCAATTTACAGCTGGTTAATCTCCTTGTGAAATCTCTCATAACAATAAATGCCAAGGCTTAAGACCTAATCCTAGAAGCATTTATGCCCATGTTTAATTTTACTACCAACAGTCTTGTTGGTTATTTCTGCCAGAAAAGTTTGGGACATGTGTCAATATTTGCTAGAGGAGGCAAACTGTTGCCAAACATGAGAAGTAATGTACCATCTGACTGATGATGAGTGAAATAGCCCAATGTATAAAATGCATTATAGCTTACACTGCCACTGTAAGAAAATACACTTAGTATCTTCATTTTTTAGAGAAACTCTGTTCCCACATTTTGCTGGAACAAGCAGCTTCTGCTTTACAAAACTGCATCTCAAACAGCCTTCCTATCTCCCTCATTTGCACTGATTTCTTCTCTGTCCTCTTCTCTTTTAGTCTGATTAGGAAAAAAGTGTTCCCTTCTTCCTCTCTCTCTTCTGTTATTTATCTATATGACTTCGTTACTGAATTTCACATTGTATTTAGCTGTCTGATTATTTGAATGACGTATGATAGACCTTAAGTATTCTAGTCATAAAATTAGAGCATCCCAGCATACAGTCAAAAATATTTGAATTACTGGTTGAATGAATTTATTGTGCTGCTCAAGCTCATCTGAAACATAAAAGCAATTTCTATTTTAATTAACTGTTCAGAAATCATGCTAACTCTGTAAATGTGAAGAGGAAATTCTCTGGAATAGCAGATATTGTAGGGGCTCAGTGGCTGCCTTCTGTGTGTTACAACGACATAGATTATTTTGATTGGGTAACACAATTTTGGCACATAGTATCTTAACTTGTTATAATTTTGTCCTGCAAGAAGAAATATTTCAGCCATCAAACCTCTAAAGGCACCAAGAATTTAAAAACGAGAGGCTTATCAGTTATTCTTTATGCTAGCTAAAATAAACAGGATTTACAAAATTAAAGAAATGGAACAAGAAGACAACTGTGTCTGATGTTGAAGTACATTTTTACTTATACTTGGAAAAACTGTGTGAGAAACACCCACCCTAGCTTTCAGTAAGGCTGCCAAGGTGAGATGACAACCAGTGCTTTGCGAGAGCTACTTACACACAGTGGTCTGACACTGGTCTAGTTCAGTTCCACACTAGTCATCTAACGGAGACTTTTCATTCATAATTCAGTGTTTCCTCTTCCTTATTTTAGCTTTTGTCCTACCAATATTACAGTTTCACAGATCTTTCTAGTAAATTAGATAATTTTATCTTTACTGCTTCCAACTGCTTAAAAAAAACCACTAAAAAATTTCATTCATGCAAAATTCCACTTTCCTTCTATCATATATCACATGGTGAAAATGATTTGGAACAGTTCATTGTTCCCAAGAAGAGTATGCTGCTAATTAACTATGGTTAGTTGTCCTCCAAAAATTTTCTATTATTACAACTACTTTCTTTAACCTCTCTTTCCTCCCCTAAAAAAATACCGTAGTTCAGTTACAAAACGCCATGCACTCTGGAAGTAATTTTTCTCAGCTTACTTGTTTTCTGTCTTCACCAATACCTATTTTTTCAGAAATATTTTCTGATTCCATGGAAAATGAAGTCCATTGAGCAAACAAATTCATAGAGGGATTGAATATATTCAGTTCTGCTTCCACACGCATGGTGGTTATGTTCCCTAACAGCTCCCACCAGCTTGAGGACGCCTGACAGATCTCATGCTTTGCAACAACTGAAACGCTTATCAGTGCAGCCCCGGATGACTCAGAGGAAGCTGGAGCAATGAATGTACTCAAATGCATTTCATTTGGGTCATGATTTATCAGGAAGAGGGTATCTTCAGGACACCCTACGTTGTCACCCTAGATCGTTGCATTTGTGGTAGTCACACGCGAGGTAGTTTGCGTTTGGTCAGTAGAAGATTACATATCAGGATGAAAAGTTATGTGTTCTGCTCTGTACAGGGAAATAGAAATTTATCCCTGTATCTGAAAAGTACATAATACTTTCCTGACACCACTGCACTAAAATCTGTAGTCTTGATTTTGCATGCTAACCTAAGAAACTCAGTGTATCAGGAATGACAAAGGCAAAAAAACCATTTTGATAAAGTCTACTTCAGAGCCTCCTCCAAAATGCTTTACTACTTTCCCTTGGTAATTTTTTGTACAAATTTTCCTACTTTGCTTCCACAATAATGTCATAGCTTTCTAGCTATTTTCAGAATGTGTCAGTGGAGCTGTCTCTCAGACCTCAGACCACATAAGGATGCTCCTGGTGTTGAAGCCATATAATAACATAATTTGCTTCCATGAATATCAACTGGAGTAAACTTAATTATTCCTTCCGTAGAGACTACATTACAATCCATTTGAAGACAGACATGTTTCCACTCACAAAGAATTCAGTGGATTATGATCTACTTGGAGGAGACACTTCCTTCCTGTCACTGAGATGTCTCCTCAAAGATGACTGAGAAATAAAAGAGTTCATCTTTTCCGTTAATATCACATGGTAGTAACAGGCAAAAAATACTTTATTATTTAAGTATCTTTTGCTATTCCTTGCATGTACCACTGCAGCTGGGACTTCCCAATCAGCTGATGAGCTAGGACCTTCAGATGAAATTCTTTTATAGCCATAATAAAAAATCACTCTGGAATTTACCACCATGCGGATTCAGCAACTCCACTGTGACTCAAGGAATTAAAAGCAAATATCCCAATTTAAGAACTTGTTATTTTGATTAAAGACCAGCTGCATGTGCATCAAGAATAATACACTGGGAGGAACAGGATGTGGTCTAATAGGCATTAGCTGTTTCCAAGTAAGCTGTACTCTGAAAAGCTGAATTTTGGGGGTGACTAAGATGGGAGGTTAATACCAGTATCTGAGGAAGGCTTGAGGATGTTGAACCTGAATTTTTGAAAAATTGAACAACCATTTTACGACATCACACGCTTTACTTGTTTCTCTTAGCGGAGAGCCAGTTCTAGGCCTGCTGATATATATGGGACTTTACTGGATGACTTTACTGGACTGTGAATTAGGATATATCTGACTTAAAAGTACCAGTGACTTTAACTGTGATGCTAAACTCATGTGTTTGAAGTCAAATGCAACTGCATTTATTACCAATTGTCTCTTACCAAAGATGTGGATGCGTCTATGCCTTCTATAACACAAAGGAAAACATGAACTGACTGAAGCAATGGGAATTTTACAATTGACATTAAAGGAAGCAAATTCCATAGTATATAATCTCAATATAAATGTTCAACATTTAATTCATTTTGTTAATCAGTTCCAATATTCACTTGCTTAAATTATTTTCCACATTACAGTGGAAGACAAACCTGCAGTTAGAGTAGATATAACAATTATGTGAATATACAGATGGTGCTACTTCAATGATGATTACATGAAATTAAAAATAGGTTGCACCAACTTAAGTATGGTTTCTAGAACATGGTAAGTCAGATCTAACATTATTTCTTCTTAAACAGTTTGACTATCTAAAATAGAGGTTGTTTCATTAAGTTTCTAACGTGAAAGTTGCAGTTTGTTGCCATATTGCTTTTACAACCAGTGCAATGTTGCATTGTGAAATCCTGTGGTTTTTTCACCTATTCAGAATTTACCTCGAATCTGCCTGTAAAATTACTTAAGTACATCAACTCAGTACAATTAACATATGAAATAAATTTTTTGCAATTTTCTATTATACCAATGATATGACAACAATTACGATATTTTAAAATGTTATCTGCTCTAAACAGAGTTAATTTCAAGAAAAAGTAAAGCAAGATTCAACACTCCAAAACCTACCTGAAATTCCAGCCCATAGTTTTCCCTGCAGAATTCTCTCAGCTTAGGATACACATGTTCTCTTAGGGCGCTCCTTTCTGCTATTGTATCTGTGTAGGGGAAAAAGATGTTACTAATAATATATGTATGAACTTTGTTCTTTTAGTCAGATTCTTTTATAGATTTATCATATAAAAGAGCCCTTAAAACACACCCCTCCCCCCCCCAATCAAAATCAAGTGCTGGGATTTAATCTCCAAACGGTATACTGCACTTTGTGATGTTTCACATACAGGTGTTTCTATGTAAATTTGTAATTCAGCAGTCAGAATTTCTTTATCTTTTTCTGTTTAGATTTCAAGAAGCTGAATTTTACTAATTTTAGTAATTAAAAACACCATGGAACAAAGAGATATACCAAAGATGAAATATATCTCTATACTTAGAAATAAATCAATAACATGAATTAATGATATTGTGTCAAACACTATCACTTTCTTCATCATCTTTAATCCGATAGTATTTTAAAAGGAAGAAAGTTGTTAATAGCTTTATGGTATCTTTTAGTCTAGGTGATTCCTGCTATCATACTAAATGTACAGTTCTGACATCATGTTATTCTCACCATGCAAAATGACATGTGTTTTGATAACAAAGTACAATATGGCAATGACATCAAAATTATTATTAAGTTCTGTGTGTCCAAGTTAATCTGAGTGCATTTAGATAAAACATATCACTCAAGAAACATACTGTCAAATTTGAAGTAAATTTGGTTAGGAATGAAATCTTGTATAGATAATAAATTTTATTATCTCTCCCAATAAAACTAAGATATGTGATGGATTTTGCTAGGTCTAGACTGTGACCAGCGTCGACTGAGTTAAGACACAGAGCGATGACACCACTGCTAAGTTATTTTCAAAAATAAACCAGTTGTAAACCAGTAGATCTGAGCACCACATGACGAAAAATAAACAGTGTTAACTTACGAATGATGGAGAACATCTACTGCAGTTAAAACAATATTTGTATAACTGCACTGAAACAAAACGATAGGTTAAAAGTGATTTAACAGTCCCCATATTGTAAACCAGAGATATGTATGCAAATGTAAGAATGTCCTGCTTATCAGAGCCACAGCTGATGATACATTTAAGTCAGAGGTCTGTTCATAGATTCATGGTCATAGATTTACAACATTTTTTATTCGGACAATTTTAGGAGACTGTGAAATCTGTAATTTAATTAATGACATCAAATTCTTAATATTCTTCTTAATATTTAAATATACCTTTGAAATATTACACAAATGTGTGGTATAATTACCATTTATCTTTATAAACAGAAAACAATCCAGAACACCTCCAGAGAATTATTTCTTGTGAAATCTGCATCAAGGTAAAAAGGCTATACCACAAAGCTCAGAAGTACAGCCATGAGCTTAATCCAGTTTACCTGAATAACCACAGTTCTTCCTTCACAAACTTTTGATGGGGAAAAAAGTCAAAGGCATAGTAGTTTTCATAAAACATCCTAAGTGCAACACTATTATGTATTTATGATTTCATGGTTTGAAATATACTATGCTAGTGTGTTCTGAAGACAAAGAACAGTCCAGAAGCATTAGTCAAGTCCTTGCTCCGTTGCAAGCTTTCTATTTGACTGTGGGCACGCCACTCAAGGTGAGATCCTAAAGCTGCAGCACACAGCTTTTATATATCCAATCTGAACACGGAAAATTAGACAGACCCGGCTCTGGGTTACATTCGGAGGAGTGTGGCCTCACTCCTTCTCCCTTCTCTTCCCTTGGGGGAAGTTATCACCCTCTTCTCCCTGGCACTGAAGAGGCTGCACCAGAAGTGCTGTGTCCAGCTCTGAGCACCCAAAATCTAGAGGAGGATGGGGAGGAAACTGGAGAGGCTACTGAGATGGTCAGGGGCCAAGAGCACATGGCCTACAAGGGGAGATTGAGGGATCTGGGCTTGTTTAGTCTTGCAAAGACTGTAAGGGGGACCTAACTGCAGTCTACAACCACTTCTAAGGCAGTTACATAGAGGATGGAGTCAAGCTCTTTGTGGCAGTGTCAGACAGTACAACAAAGGCAATGACAAAATATAACAGATTGGACAATTCTGGTTGGACAATTCAGGTTGGACATGAGGAGAAGCTCCTCTGTCCATGGAGCTCTTCAAGACTCAACTAGACATTTTCATGGTTGACCAAGTTACTGTTGGCAGCACTTCAAGAGAGAGGTGAGCCCAGATGACTTCCCGTCTCCCTTGCAACCAGCAGTGATCCTGTATCTCAGATAAACCTGCAGGTTTGGCTTAGTCATCCAGGCCACTCATACAGGGCCTGGGGAGGCTTTTGCTACTGCATGGGCCTGTGGGAACAAAACTGTACAGTAAAATAGCTGGTGCCGAGCACACAAAGTCCATGCCATGTGTATTTCAGGGGATTTCACTCTGGACTTGGCTTAACCCCCACAAACACTTCAGTGCATTAGATGAGATCCTGGAGTTATCTTCCTGTTTTTCATCCAAAAGGAACCCAGTTTAGGCACACCAAGACTGCTCTATGATGTGAGTTGAAGTATATTAGATGGTGATTATCAAGAGATTCACCTCAGAAATGTACTCCAGATCGGGATGAATACAGATGCATCCTACAAATATTTAGGAATGGAGTGCAAAACCCAATGTTCTCAGCTCAGAGCTGCCTGAGTAAGTACATAAGAATAAAGGGACAGATGAGCTGCTCCCTCCTTAGGAGCCACAGTCATTAATTTTCTCTCATACTTCAGTGCCTACGTCAACCTTTCCTTGCAGAATGTACTACACAGCTAACAAGGCTAATTAGCCTGAGGGTTGCACTGTGGTGATGCAGCAGTATTATTTTGGCTCCAAAGCAACTTTTCTCAGTGCTGGCTTGGAGTCACGGTACTGTATGGTGTTGCTGTACCTTGTGATAAAAGCTACCTGTGTACTTTGCTTCATTCAAAATACTTCATTTTTTTTTTACCTTCACAGTCAGTGATGCCCTTAGATCGGTCTTTGTCACAAGACTGTATATTCTATATTCTTTGCCTTAAACAGGTTAACTTTGGCCTACAAATATACCAAAACACAGAGCATCTCATCTTCATAATTGACAAGAATAAACTCTGTTGAAAACCAACTTACTACTCAGCTACTGAGCTAAAAAAAAAAAAAAAAAAAAAAAAATTCTTGCCTCTCTAAACTGAAATGAATCATGACCACAGCTTTGATATTAAGGAAGCAACAATTCATAGGTACTGTCCGCAGTTACTTAGCTGATCTACGTGACAGCAGACAGAACAGTCTTACTAGGGAACTAAAATAGGCTAAGTTGCAGGAATAAAAAAAAATTAAATTATTGGAAAAGGATAGAAATTAAGACTAAACATGATTAAATGATAAATGGGAAACACATTGTCTGAGGTGTACAACAGATAAGACCATATTCTGCTGCTTTCCATTTGTGCCCATAGGACTCACCCCACCAGTTCTAGAACATGGTGCTGTTCCCTGCAGCGTAACTTGTAAGTGTCTTGTTCAGAAAATGAAACAACACACTGCAAGAGTAGTGCGACATTTCTAATACCTCGTAAATGAAATAGAAAGACATAAAACATTCCTTCAACTAGAACTGTGCTCTGAATAAGACACTCGGCATATCCATCCTGTACGTTTATTCCTACCTCCAAGTGTAATGGAATGTGCTTATCCAATCGGAATTTGAGTCTGGTGCTTATAATAATGAATTTTAAGAATTCCTGTATTTGTAATAAGTTGTGAAACTTTAAGGAAACAGAATTGCATACAGTTAAGATGAACTACAGCAATTAGTATGGATAGCAGATAAGCTGGTTTAATTAAATAAACTCTAACCTGATTTACAGTGACAGCATATCTGTGAAGCTGGCAGTTCCTAACAACAAAAATGTCACACAGGCAAATTCCACCTTCCAGGCTGCTGCTGCAGATGAGCAGATTAACTAAATGACATTCTTCTAGCAGCCAAAACCAGACAGTAGCTGTGAGATGAGCTTTATACACCTCCTAATGTTAATTCTCATACTCTGAAATCCAAATGATAGTCCACAATAAACTGTGGGAATTAAACTACATCTGCAAAAAACGTTAAGACAAGACTTAAAAAAGCCTCAACCCTAAATTCATCTCCAATATTTAAATTAAACCAAAACCCAACCCTGTCTTCAGCGAGATGGTGACTTGCTGAATGCACATCTTCCCTACAAGTGCTAACTCTTGCAGACGGTTGCCTCCTAAGCCAGTCCATAACCCCACCGTCCTGCCCACCCCTACACTTTGAACCACCTGAGAAAACCATCACAGCCCTGCCTCTCTCCGTGCATCCCCAGCGTAATGCTGAGGACTGAACTGAATTAGCCATGTATGCATTTATGGCCTTTCTGCCAAATAACAGGCAATCGCTGTTTAAACATGACTGTTTGTGTGAAGTGTGATTTCTGAAGGCTTGTAGCTCGGTCAAATCACTCTCAGTTTTCATAAGAGTACTCCAAGGTGCTGCTTCTCAGCATGAACTATTTCCATGCCAAAGTCTGACCTTCAAACACAAGCTGTTCTGCTATTAAAGTTGCTTATTTTATTTTTAATAGGGAAAGTACATTTTCCATTCTTGTGTTAGTAAACAGATGATGTGTATTTACAAACAGGTGCCAAACATGAATCTCTGGGATAAAGTCAGTCATGGAAAATAGCCTCGCGGAAGAAAATTTCAAAACACACATGCAAGTGAACAGAAAGAGTTAACGTGGAAGCCTGATGGAACTTGTCTGTTTTCAGGCACTGGTTATTCTGTCCTAAGACCACAGACCCTCCCCCCCAGTTTCTCTTCTTGGTGGCAGTGATACTGGTCTGAGTTCAGCCACAGTGATGGGAGCAGCTGTTTCATGTGCATGGCCTGCAGTCACACAGTGATCTTATTCAGCTGAGGCTTGATGCAGCTGAATAAGAGGTTGCTCAGCTGCATCCTACTATTGTGTGTTGCACAGGGGGTGCCACTGTGGGGACAGTGAGCCCCACTGGACCACCCTCAAAGG